GTTGTCTTATTGTTCAGCCTTTGACCCTTGTATTGGAGTATTAACAAAAAGGAGAGGGTTATTTAGAGCCCCTAAGGTGTGTTTTTTGTTTTTTTTTTTTTTTTTTTTTTTTTTTTTTTTGAAGGGGGGGGGGGGGGGAAAAAACCCCATGGAGCTTGTACAAATAAGTGCCTTGACACCGTGTGATTAATGAAAACAGATTAATATGCTGTTGAGAGAAAGAGGTGGAAAAAATCAGATCTGGGTGTGCGGGGAACAAGTGCTTTGCCATCTGGAAGATGATGATCCTAACCGCTGCTGATCCTGCTTCCCCCTCCCACCGACCAGGGACGCGTTTTAGGCACGGACATCACAGGAGTCTTCACTTGGTATCTGGAAAAAATTATTCGCTGGGGTTGGGCAGCTACTGGAGAGCAAGAAATTGCAGCAAAGATGCAAAGGGACTTCTTAAGGGAACACCCGGATGGCGTTTCTGGAGGCCAGCCAGACCTCAGCAGTTCGGCGCTGGCCAGGGGCCTGCCTTGCGGGCAGGGGCTCCCGCCACGGCAAAGTTAAGGCTGTAGGACCGAGACTGCAGATGTGCTGATAACACTCCAGAGGGAAATTTTAAAGGTGGAAAGGGTGTTTTCCGTGAGTAATCGGAGGTTAGCTCAAGACGATGAAATCTTCCCTGCCAGTGCCCCCATAGTTAATATTATTTATTCTGAAATGACCCAAAGTCACAGATCAACTAGCGATTTACCAGCTGAATATTTTCAAAGGCCTCTCGGCCTACTTTTATCATGTCTGGCTACATTAAATGTTTCAGCACCAGGCTGCATGCGTTTATTCAACAGCAGCAGCCTCGAGGCAATGGGAAATACGGCGTTAAAGGCTCTGAAAAACAGCTAATGCCGTGACAAAGTGCTTAAACACTCTGCTTTCAAATGAGGCTTTATCAAGCCATTACTCTACATCCTTGATTAGCCTCGATGACAGAAGGTGTGCTGCTAATTTCTGGCATGTTTCTTTCTTGCTAGGAACAAGACTGAGCATCCCTGGCAGGGAAATCCATGCCTCCAAACCAGAGCTTACTAGAACAGAGTTCTGTCTGGGAGCGACCTACAAGCGAGATCTAAACAACAGGGTAGCCAAGGATGTAGCTAATGAACTGTCGCTTAGCAAAACAACCAACATCGGGTCAAAACCTTCTGTAAATAGACACCACAGCACAGCAGGTTGGTAAATCGATCTCCTTAGCCATCGCAGATAAGCCCATGTTTCTACAGTTGTTAGGCAAGCGCTCCGGTTTTTATGTAAACCGAGATAATCAACGGATACTCTCAGCTCCCACCTTGACCGATTCACACCGCTTGTTTATCTCCTAACGCTCTGCGAGCTTCCAAGTGGCCGCAGATCCTCGGTGCTGCCCTCGCTCCATCCCGTCGCTTCGGTAGCGAGAGGAAGAGATGCTCGCTTCCGCAGCCCAGCGTCTCTGCCCTTACAGCCCCTTCACCGCCTTGCAAAACTCGGGCTGCAGCGCGACAGCGCTCGCAAATGAAAGCTGGAGCTTTGAGAGTCAAGAAGCACCAGGCCGATGAGGATTACGCGCATTTCCTCCGTCACTATTCATGCCGGCCTCAGACGGAGCAAAGGCTACAAGGTTAATGTCTTGAGCAGTGGGCAACAACAGACACATTCAGCTCCATCCCCCGCTGAGGCTTACCGTGTGGGCAAACGATGTCTTCATTAAAATTTAACTCCACTTCCTCCTCTCTCTTTTCATTTGATTCATCTGATTGAAAAAAAAAAAAACAAAACAAAAAACCACAAGAAGATTGCACAGAGTTTCTCTCCAAAGGAAAAGAAAAATCTTTTGGGGGAAAGAAGCAGGGTTGCATTTCAAATAGCAGCAAAACCCTTAACCCGAGGGAGACTTTGGAAGCGGATTTGTTATTCTCAAACGTCTTGGCCTCTGGGCAGGCGGGATTACAGCCCACAGGCCACGTAGGAGTGCTCTGATGTGCACGGAGCACAAGCCGGTCCTTTGTCAGGTTACAAAGGACGCATTTGTTAAGGCTTAACCACCACAGGGGTTCCCCGCTCCCAAAGATCTGAGTTCAGCCTAAACACAAGCCTAGGTGAGGGCGCAGGGAGCAGAAACCTTCCCGGCAAAATATCCGTCCGCTCTTTGCCTTGAGGATGCGGATGGAAAGCAGACGCTGCCCGAAAGCCTCGCGGGGAGCCTGCCAGGGGTCCGACCGGCCCCACGTTAACGTACAAGTTACAGTTCAGAACGGTGGCTCCACAGACGGAAGCGCTGCCCGCCGAGTCGGGAGTATCACAAATGCAATCCTGTGTTCGTCTCTAACGACCCGTCTAACGAGCAAGTTGGCTTGCAAGCCATTCAGAGGTACCACTGGGAGTCGCAACCTGTTGTGGAACCGAGGTCTCCACCAAGGAAGGAGGAGCGGTAACTCAGCGGAGAAGTGCCCTTTCCTGGAGATGGCCCCACAGCAGCGCCGGCTTACAGATCCCACCAGGAGGGCTGCCGAGCTCCGGGAGCCTTCCAGCCCAAGATCAATGCCATTAGCCCGTCACCTCCTCTTTCATTCAAACAACCTTCTTGCCCTCAGTTTCCAAACAAAAAGCTCAACAAAACATCCAGTTTCCACAGGTTTAAAAAGCAGAAGGCAAACAAAACCCCCAGCTATTCTCACAGACTCATGACCTGGGCATGGCAGAGTTCAATTCATGATTTTTTTTCTCTAGGCTGTGCTTTCCCAGTGCCGCTTTACCAGCTGTGCTGCTTCACCCACAGACCTTCGCAGTAAGCGACTTCATCCCTTCCCCAAGGTAATTTTCATGTTTCCTCCTCCCTTCTGCTCTCTCATTCAGATAAAAGTGGATGAACAGATCGTGCGTCTGGGGCGGTAATTTCACACAGCTTTGTAAAACTACTTATTTCCTCCTCTTCTTCTCCAGGTACCAAGATCACCCAGCAGTTTTGAAGCTCATAAAATGAAAAGCTCCTGAAATGAAGGAGTTTTTCATTTGATTTATTCTCCTTTCCTCCCTACTCATCCAAGAGAAGCTAAACAGCTAGAGGAACACCTGACGTGTCTTTTGTCAGGCGGTATCAGTCAGAGCTGGCGGGGCTCTGCAGCGGCAGAACTACCTTTGTTTTGTGCATTTCCATTCATTTTGCCATTACTGTGCTCCGCGTCTTCGTCTTGCTCATTTAATTGCTCCAGAGCCAACTGACGCCAGCTCCGCAAGGACGCTTTTCCAACCCAAAACCCGTCGTTCCTGCGGAGAGAGAACAGCATTGGCAACACGAATCACAACTCCGTTCTCCTTCAGAGCCCAAACAGTAAAATCTTTCGGAAGAAGCTATTTAACCACTTCTAAAAACATCTCTGACAGCGTTTGAAAGTGTTGGAACTTACATACCCCTTGACTGTCAGCTTCAGCAAGTTCGTAACGGTTTTGTAGTCTTCATTTAACTGGTTTTTCAGCCGCAGGATTCGACACCTTTCCACCACGCAGTCCTTGCAAAGTGCTTTGACTGGGGCGGAGGGGAAAGAAACACAATTTATTCCACAAATTCTTGCACACATGGCTGAGCTTCTCGCAGGTTTGAATGCACCCAGACAGGTATATATCAAGTATCCCGCCTCTGGATGGGAGATTTCACATGTAAATGAGGAGCTCCCTGGGGCTGCTGCCAGATCAGGCCACAATTGAAGCTTAAATAAGCGTAAAAACACTTCAGATGAGGTGCAATGCTCTCTGGTATCAACAGTTTGCAACTACAGCTGCGAGCCAGGTCACGCCAACACACAGTCAAAAGGCAGGACAGCTGAGGCATACACAAGGAAAAATCCTGTATCGTGGCACCTCGCTAGTTAAACCCAGAGGAAAAAAACCTCCTGCAAAGCTACACTGGACCGACAGGACTGGAAATCGTACAGCTGGGCACGTACTGTCATCTGGCAGCAAGAGAAGCAAGCGGGAGAGCGCGGCGCATCCGATCCATCCCTCCCAGCCATGCTCAACGAAAAAAACCCACAGGCTATCTTCCAGCTGACTAATAAACATCGGCCCATTTTTTTCACAAAGGCTGCCTGCGTCACAGCAGTTTCTGCGGGTTGCGTTTCTTCCCTACAAGCTCCTCGCAGGAGCTGAGCTAATTTGGTCTCAGTGGGAGTTACTGAGCTCCTTTCTAAAAGAAACTAAGCCTGGGGTTTGATTAAGGGATGCCCAAAGACCGCAGGGGCTGGGCTGACACCCAAAATCACAACGCACGACAGACGCGTGCCACACAGGCATCTGAACTAACAGGTAGGTGCTTCCCTCGGACGAGGCGGCTCGGGACAGGCGAGGGGTGAAAGCCAGCAAAGGATTTTCTCGGCCCGCACACATCCGCGCCGCTCCGGAGCGCAGGCTGCTGGCAAGAGGCAGCCCAGCCCCGCACGCTCCACGGACGCTGCCCAGGCAGGAGCTGTACGGAGCGCAGGCTGCTGGCAGGAGGCAGCCCAGCCCCGCACGCTCCACGGACGCTGCCCAGGCAGGAGCTGTAGGTGCTGCGAGCACGGAAAATCGCTCTGAAGAGTCTGGGGGGTCGCACGTGCCAGTCTTTTTGTTTCCTAGAATCAACTTCACAAAACCTCCCAAGCATTATGTTTCCTAACCTAAGGGAACTGCCTGCTCAGGAATTCCTCCACGCACAGCTGAGAGCAGAACCCAGTTACGAAACAGACCCTGCAATCAGACTAACTTTATTTGTTTGAACGCTAACATAATTAAGCAATATTAAAAGAATCAGCCGGAAATAACAGTGCAGCACAAAGGCTACGCGCGGAAATGAAGTTGTGAAGCTAAAAAGCTGGCTCAAAATGGAGCAGGGACCAGAACAAGGCTCTAACCACACTCAGCATATGAGAACGTGACTTGGAGAGGGCATCTGCTCGCCCGACACCTCACCGTTTAGCCGGGGCCCTCCTCCGTATCTCCTGTAGAAGAAGTCAGCCACGTACTCCGAGATCCTCTTCATAATGGGTATTTTATCGGGATGGAGCTTGCCGTGTGAGCACAGGCAGGCTGTGTTATCTATCGGTTTTGGAGGAGTGGACTCATCCAGCCATTTCTGCAGCCATTCGAGAGAGATGAAGTCGTACGGGGAACCTGGGAGGGAAAAAACACAGAGAGAGAGACAAGCCGGTGCGTGTCAGCTAACACGCGACACAGCAGATGGCAGTTTATAATTATTCCAATATTCAACAGCACTTTTAAAACTCAACAGGCTATCGCTGTTGATTGAATCTCTGTGGTACAAGTTTTCAAACATCTGATACAGCTCCCCTCACCCAACTCTCATCCCCACATCACAGATTTCGAAGGCAGGAGCGACGTGAAATGAAGACCTGCGAGAACGAGCGGTCATTTCGAGTTCAAGCAATCGATAGGAAACAGCGGAGCACTCCAAGCAGGAGCGCTTTCAGACTGCTAAGCGTTTAGGGGTTCATTGGAGAGCAGTCGAGGAAAGAGGAAGCTTTTCCTATCATCCATCAAGGGACAAATACAATATTTAAATTATGACCATACATCAAAGGCTCTTTCTGTACCACAGCAAGCTCACTGGGATAAAATGAAAAACAGAAGAGACAAGGTCGGTGCCCGCCCTGTCTCTTCAGCGCCCAAAATTTCAGTGCTATTCCGGGCTGCTCTTGCGACTCTGGGCGAGAAACACTCGCATATTTCAACATTTACAGTGTAAATGGAAACTTGCTCAAATTCTTTCGTGTGAGCACAATTTTCTTTGAAACAGAGCAGTGGGCTCGCCCATGTTTGCTAAAGGAGAAACACCTCGCACAGAGCCCAGGCTCCGGAGCGGGTCAGCGTCTGTATGAGCAGCGAAACAGCTTGGGGTGGGACCCCCGTGTCTCGATACCGAGACCTGGTATTGATGTGAAAACCCTGGTGCGAGTTCATTGGGAAATGAGGAGGAAATTAAATCCATTATTGTGCTGACGTGAGGAGGGCAGCTCTGAAACCAAGGGGAAATACAACTGTTAGTTACAGTTATCAAAAGAACACAAATCCTTCATGTTCCAGACAAAGGAGCAACAGAGAAGCTACAGCAAAAGACTTTTGTCTCCCAGCTTGCGCTGGATCCTCGCGAAGCCGGGCTTCAAACGCCCTCTCCTCTGCAGGATAAATCAGCAGCGTTTCCATCTTACGCAATGCCATCAGAGATGCACAGCCATGACCTCCAGAGAATCGCAACGCTGTCAGAAACGGTTTGCTGCTTTGGGCTGAAAGCTGCCTTCCCCCGGAAAGTACATTTTTCTGGGGCAGGCTCCACAAAGCTGGCAGCGAACGTGTCTGCGCAGCTGCGGGGAGCATCCCGCGCGCCTGCAGGACGGGACGCAGGGCAGCTCCGGGATAACGCTCCCCCAGCTGTGCTGACAGGCTGCTGTGCCTGGCGGCGGATCGCGGGCACGGGACGCAGGGCAGCTCCGGGATAACGCTCCCCCAGCTGTGCTGGCAAGCTGCTGTGCCCGGCGGCGGATCGCGGGCGCCCGCGGGGCAGTGCTGCTGTGTGCTGCCGCCTTCTGCCCGGGGCAGGGGAGCATCTCCTGCACTGGCAGAAACCATCTTCTTGAGATGTATTCCTCTGTTGTGTTAGAAATGCCGAGAGCAAGCTATTCTGTTTCTGCTGAGGGGGAGAGAAAGCGCAGCGGAGTTGTGCTTGCTGCTCCTTTTCAGTGGTGACTCACGGCAGATTCATACCTCCACCGCTACTTTGATTTAACAGTGACATTTTAACACCGCTCTGAGTTGCAGGGACTCAGCAGCACGAGCTGCAACTCCCTCCTGCTCGCGAGTTAAGCGCCCGTTGTCTGCAAACCCCGGTTCATAAATCGAAGAGGCAGACATTCACGGGAGCCGAGGAGTCTGCTGTTCAGCTACCCGAATCTCGCTGCTCGTTCTGAGCTTTGAGCAGTGAGTATTAAAAATTCAACATCAAACTGTCTAACAGGCTACACAATTAAACACTTTTTAAAGTCTTTAATTACAAACCTCCTGGAGTTTTTAGGAGATGCACATAGTGGAGAGAAATTCCCCATGCTGGATGGGCAGAGTAAGTGCCCCTACGCTTGTTTGGAGGGAGATGGGAGAGAAAAATAAGGGGGGGAATAACAATCCTTGTGCTCAGACGTGCTAAGGCGACAAGACACATGGAGCAGCAGGAAAGGATTAACCCCAGTCACTCCTTGGACAGACTACAAAGCTCAGACATGGAGCTTCGAAGCATTGGCAGGGATGAATCAAATCATTTTCTCCCGGAGGTCAGGCGTTCTCGTACCCTGTTACCTGCTGATTTACCGGGATCAGCAGCTCCCAAACTTGCTGCGAGTTGGCAATTTGAGACCGGCCAGTTATTCTGCCTCGATGCTACTAATTGCTAATGAGACGCGCTGCTCACCGGGCAGAAGAAAACAGTCACAATGCATGGAAGCACACAGGAGACTGACTGATGGGGAAGGAGCAAGAGGGAATTAGCGACGCCAGAGGCCATGAGAATGAGCAAAAAAGGAGAAAAGTAGGTTAAGGCAGAAAAAACAAGAGAGAGAAAGCAAATCCTGAGCATGCACACAGCAACAACAGACAGCGATCGGCCTCCTCTTTGAGAGGGCTACAGCTAACGCCTTCCAGCAAAGCGTTCAGGCCACAGAAGCGAGTTGTGGGTTAGTTACAAAACATTACTAATCTTAACAACGGTCTACGGCAAAATACTACCACAATATCTTACAGACCAGCTTCAGCGGGTAACCTTTTGTAGAGCTCCTTCACCTCTTCGTGTTTGATTTTGCCCCTGGCCACACTCTGTTTGCGCATCTCGGCCATTTCATTGCACCACTCCTCAAACTTGCAGTTATCACGCTCCACCAGCTCCTGCAGGAAAGCTGGTGGGAAAGCAGAAAAAGCAGTCATTTCAAGGAAAAATGCCAATTATGTTAAATACCCCTGCTATCGGTTATCACAGAATATCACAGAATATCACAGAATAGTAGGGGTTGGAAGGGACCTCTGTGGGTCATCTAGTCCAACCCCCCTGCCCAAGCAGGGTCACCTACAGCAGGCTGCACAGGACCTTGTCCAGGTGGGTCTTGAATATCTCCAGAGAGGAGATATTTTATCTGGGGATAACAGAATTTTATCTGGGGATAACAAGAAAGCCTAGAAATTCCCCCACGCAGCTACCAACATACAAGGCCTTCCCAAAAGCCAAGTGCACAGACGTTCTCTCTACAGTATTTATGGTTGTAGGTGATTAAATGCACCTGTCCTGCGCAACCCAACGGAGCCCAAGAAAATAATTTACCCGGGGCTGGTTGCTGTGTTAAGAGTCCTTTGCTTGCTAACAAGCCTACGCCGAGCACTGGCAGTCGCACAAAGTGCAACGGGGTGTGGAGAGAGGCTGCCGAGCCGGAGCACGGCAGGAC